ACGTGTATTCTGGCGGTCCTTCAAATACTTTCAGGAGGTCGCGAAAATAGGACGCCATCGGTGATATTCCGCAAGGATAGCCAAGGTTTTGAGGTCTTACGTAGCAAATATTGAATTTGAAGTTTGCCCATAGCGGAAAGTCACTAAAAGTCAAACTGTTAGCATTTCTGGACCTCGATCTCAAGGTGCATGCACGTACATCGTTCAGCTTGGGTTGGAGCATTATCTCACCAGCTGAAAAATATTCGTTTCCTTTTGGCCGTTATTATCTTCTGGTCCATCTGGTCCATAATCTTGGTTGTGAAGTGCCCGTTGCATTCTTCCATGACTTCTTTTGAAAAATTTTGTCGAAATTCTGAGTTCTTAAAGAAAATTTTCTGAGATAAAAATTGAGTCCCATAATTTGAGTCTTCTCGCTGGAAGCGACAAGGGGGAGATGGAGCTTCAAATTTGCTGGAGCGATTCTGGGTTGAGAGAGAAAGTATGCCAAATTTCGTTCTTGTTGATGCTCTCAGAGAGGAATACGAGACAATTGAATTTTGTTGCCGGAAGGGGTTGAAGAAAGATAATGGGCGTTGCCGTGCCCATTGATGAACGGAAAGGGAGAAAATACAAGGGACCATTAATCTGGGAAACCTTATAATCGGAGACCCCAGATGGAAAGGGAAAACGAGTCAAGGAATATTAGTCAAAGCTCGGATCCTCCGGGTCTAACTCGGAGTGCAAGGCTTGGCCGGAAGAATGACTCCAAATTGTTGACCTTTGACCTCTAATATCTCAAAGGGGAAAGGACACATAGAAAAATGAACTTGACTGGGAAACCCCGGGGATTTAGTAACCCCCACACACAATTAAGGAGGTTATGTTGACGAAAAATGGCCCTGGTGACCCAAGGCAGCCCAGCGACCCATCGGAGGCAGGGCCACCAACTCCGTCGTCCTGATGTTTAAAGCCTATGTTTAAAGTTTCAAAGTTTCAGAGTCAGAGATCCAACCGTCTAGGAGGAGAAGCGGCCTCGGGCACACAGACACTAACGCTCATTAGTAAGGTAAACACCTTTTCAGGTGATTCTCAGACATACCTGCCATACAGGCAACCCGCATGCCCGATGGAGCACGCAGGGGCGAATAGAGGAATGGAGAACATGACTAGGAGGGGCGAGTGTAAGCCATTGTGTTTCGTTTCGCCTTCCTAGTCTAGACAGAGAAACCAAGAGACTGCGAGGCCAATTCATACCCCGAGGATAAGTAAAAATCCAGACGGCCGGAGAGTGAAAGGCGAAATGCCTTCATTCGTGAATGGGGATATCTGGCTAACGACGTATTGAAAATAATTCTCGTTTGCATGAGACATCTGTATTCATGTTGTGAGTCTTCCCTGCAGCGGCTGCCAACGGCGGATAGCAACTGGGGCCTGCAATGCACCGATCCGTTTCTTCCAGGGGGGGGAGGGGGGAGAGGTCAGAGAGATCTTAGATCTGCGCAGAAACGCGTTTTGGGGGGTGGAACGCCTCGCACTAAAGGGTATTGTGTAAGTAGACAGGGTAGCGAAGCTCGCCTGTGGCACGGTAACAAGAGCGGTCTATCGCGAACTCTGAAACTTGTAAAAATGCCCTTTTCACAAACTGACAATCTCTTTCTTTTTCGAATGGATTTTACGAATTCAATGTCTGCCCATCTCTCATTGGATCATAGGTGTCATGAAATTTCATTTTCACGTCAACATCATTCTCACCTATTTTACTTTTCGTTCCTCACGATCTCGGTTCACCCTCATTGTATTTACCAGGTTCAGGTGTCTTACAAGAGTTAAGGTATGCATGAAGGTCCTGATAGCCAATGGATGGATACGTGGGAATATGTTCTGAAGAGATTCTGACAGACCTTTTATAACATTTTCTCTTCTATCGAGATCAGATTCACCGTGAAATTTTGCGAACTCTTGTTCTAAAATCACAGCATCCTTTAACCATGACACTGGTGACATGACACTGGTGACTTCAGAAAATCCCCTCGACTAATCTTCGGTATCCAAGAAGAGCTACCTGGATCGTTAGCAATAGAAGTACCAAAATCCAGATCCTTCCTATGAAGCTTGAAAGCTACATAACTAGCTACATGATGGAATCCTCCTCCAATGTTCACAGCGGTGGCTACCTCATCGTATGGCACATCAGGTATACGAGGTCCGCCATCTTCCTTGAAATCCTCATACATGCTCGCATAATTTTGAGGAATGGCTTCGTCGGACTGAAACGAAGATTGATTCAATGATTCTTTGTCTGCATCGTCCTCCCATCATTGTCCCCTATACAGTCTCTGTTGCGATGATTTTGTCATTGTTTTCATTCGCAAGAGATGAGGAGGCCTGCTGGTCCTCCATGTGCTGCAATGGACCATCTAAGGTGAATTTGGGAGAAGGCATTGGTTCAAAGGCCAAATTTTATGTTGGAACCGCGTCTTTTTTCAAGCGCCTATTGGCATTTCCACCACACTATGAATCTGGAGCAGTGATGCGAGCACACGAAAGCATATTTGGTGATTGTTTTCCAGCGCTGGGAAGGAAATCTTTCTTTTTTTATGTCTGCACATTTTGGAAATGCATGGAAATAAATATTTTCTGCATGTCGATTCTATGAGTATTCTAACAGGATGCGACAATGCAAACCTTGCCACTGCCCTTCATAACTAACAAATACTATGAAGAAAATGAATGTAAGGTACCGAAGAATATGAACATCAAATGAGCAGTGTATGTACAATGCTTCCAAAGGTGGCTCAGACATCTGCAAGTAGCTGGAATTATGTGAGAGACGAGAGGAAGAGTGCGCGCGAACTGCCTTAGCCTTAGTCGGTGAATGATGAAATGGGCCAAAGCGCCCGCTTTTAGAGTGGAACATTTCGCCGACGTCATACTACGATAGAGCCGGACGAAGCCAGACGACGACGTAGCTCGAGGCTACAGTCCACTCACATCTTGAACGAACCCCTCTTTACACGGGCAGAGACATACAGTGGCTACGCCGGGCTACACGCATCCCCTGTGCCCCATATAAGGGGGTGTGAGGACTTAGGGAGGAACAGCCTGGGCGGCTCCTACTTTTCAAAACTGTCTTCCTACCAGTACCAAGTGATGACAAGCGTTGATTGTTCCACCATTTACTCGGAGAGCCTATTTCATGAAATGATCTGACTATACAATTTCGTTCTGGAACGGGAGTAAAAAGTCAGGAAGTGATGAACACTTTGAAAATGAGTATATGCATTTGGCATTATCGAAGTGCTTCCATGAAAAATGGTTAAAAGGATCGTCACGAAACTTGATATTGGAATGGATATTGGTGTACTATAAAGTCAGAAGCGCACACCTCCGGAATGAATACCTTCCCGAAACGACACCCGAAAAACTGACGAAATAGCAAAACTCGATAATAATACTAAATTTGAGCCTCAATTTGAGCCTCAATTTGAGCACACTCTTTAGCTTAGGGAACAAGAAATAAATACTAAGAGCTAAGTCCAGTGAGTTGAATGACTTATGAAACACAGGGGTTCCGGGGTAGGTCAGAAACCGCCGAAGCTGGAAAATAAAGGAAATCCCAGAATATTTATAGCAGCGTTACGAAGGCGCGGGTAATCCCATAATTTTTTTTAAATTTTCTCTCATATATTTTCTTTTTTTTCCAAATTTGAGGAAAAATTTGTGCTTAAGGAGGGAGGAGTGTCGTATGGGCAAAATATAAAAATCGAGTATGTCAGAAGTAGAGCCCCGGAGCTCCCTCGGGAATGCCAAACCTGTCCGCGGTACTGCATGGGCTTTGCCCAGGTCAGGGATGTTTCCTTGAAGTCCTCTATTGTATTGGGGGTGTGTAGGTAGTGACATCCGGCCACGCCGCCCCGTCAGCCTCCCGCGTCGTACGTTCCGTCCTCGTGCGTCTGTCCCCGGCAGAGTGAGAGTGTGTGTCCGACGTCTTCCGAGTGGCTGGGTTTGTATCAGACGTCCCAGAGAGAATCTGCTCTTGGAGTGTCCCTGGCTGTCTCTGTGCATTCCAGCGAGAACGTCCCGTGTGTCCAAGTCAGCCTGCCTATCAAGTCGATCCGAGTAAATCCGTCCACAGAAGCCCATCACTCAACTCCTGTTCCACCAAGTCAGCCTGCCCCATCAGTCCTCGGCATAATCGTCATACGTGATATTTCTCATCTCTCTCATCTAACTTGGATGAAATAACGGTTATTTCGTCCTGTTTGAACAGCGTTGTTTCATTTGTCATCAGTGTCCCATAGACGGCTTTCCATAGTCGTCCGGTAGAGCGAGGACGGACACATTGTCCTAGCCTATACTGCTCGTGCTAAACTATATTTCCCATGCTTTCGGCCTAAAGTTAAACGTTAGTTTGTCCACTTTTGAGGCCCTCCATGCGACAGTGATAATCTGCCACCTTTTAATTGACTGCACATCTCTGTTGTCCTCTTGCTTCTGCGAGACCAGGATGCCCATATCCATCTCGGCATAGAGTTCATGTCGAGAATGAGAGGGGCATCCCTAATCTGATGCTTACAGGGTTGAGATCACGCTGATATTTTATGGAATACTTCAGTTTCACCTATTCATGTGCATGCGACATTTTAGTGGCGCTTGTGCGATGCATGTTGAGACGTTGTTGACACCTGTTTCCTTTCAACATTAAGCCAATGTTAAGTCAATGTGGCAGTGATGTTCTTCAACGTTGACTCAACATGGTAGATATTGAAGCTTCCATGCTCTAACAAAGGTGTGTCAATATTGCTGTGATCTGGGTACTGGGTTCTTGCACGACAACAGAGAGCTTCGTTTACTCCGGTTTACGGCAGGTCTACCTGCCATTCTTCCTTTTTTTTCAAGTCTCCAAAGATTAAGAAGGGAAAACCGAACTTGTGACACAGAGATCAACTGTAATATGTTGCACTTCTCTACACGATTATATATTTCCCCAGTTTGGAGACTTATGATCTCAGGAAGAGATGTTGATGGTCTATTTGAACTTTGTAGATTTCATCATGTAGCTTCATGCATGTGAAGTGAAGAAGTGGATATATGAAATGTATGAGCTAACAACTTTTTGAAAATCCATTGTTCCTCCCAGTTAGGATACACAATGGAAGGCTTTGTGTTAATCATGGCTTTAGTAGTACATTCTCAATGAATTGAAATACTTATCTATCTCTCACGCTTGCACTAAGTGACAACCCCTTTTGATGAAGAACAGTATCAGTGTCTCAGACTGTAATATCCTGTTTTCATTTGTACGGTAATAGGTTTGACCGTATTAGTGGTTCAGCATACAACGACATTTGTTGGATCAGTGAGGAGGACGTCCATACAGATGAGAGATAGACGTGGTGTAGACAGAGGACACTGGAAGGAATGTGGAGAATCAGAATGTGTGGAGTACGAGTTGCCACCAGATGAATCGAAAAACGAGTGCTTCTACTGCTCCTGCCCACCAGTCAAACATGAAAGAAAGCAGACTGCTCAGAATTTTGGCAGCAATGGGATATATAGTCAGGACATTCCCTGGGACGGGAAGACTGTTGAATCAAATCCATTGGGAAATACCTGGGATGAGAAGGGAAAAAGTTGGCAATAGTTTATTCTTGTATAGAGAAAAATATTCTTACATTTCAGCATTCGATATTTTCATGGCCTTACCAGACCCAGTCCTTTCTATGGAGTACACTCCCGAGGCCGAAGTATCTCTAACTGATGACATAGATACAAGTCAAGAAGATTCACTCTCGTGTCGTACAGCCTCAATGGACGTTCCTACTTCGGTTAATCACCAGCACCAGGCCCCGTCTTGGCGAAGTAGTCACCACTCTCCAACATCATGACATGAAAGAAAAGGTATATCTGTTAGTTGGCAAATTCATCAATTGGTCCTCAAAAGATGCTAGAAAAATTTCACTAACAGCACTTTGATTCTGCAGAATAATAGGAATATGCCTCTTGGTGATGGAGATACATGTTTGATTGGAAACCAAGTTTCTTTTGTGCTGAATATTTTCTTCTCAGCATTTGATTGCATATGCATAGACGTTCAATCATACGTTTTGTTCTAGTAATCCCTTGTTTGAGAGTCATCCTAAAATTGAGTCTTACAAGTAGAACAATATATAATAGCTGTCAATTGTATCAATATAGTATGCTCATCTTGATGTGATGTCTCTGAACTAGTATGTGGTGGCATGACAGAAAAAGATGAGTCCGTTTTTGGCGAAATTGAGCTGACATCACCAAATAGTGCGTCGTTATCCATCTTTTAGTCAAACGGGATAGGTCCAACTCCTGTTCCTACAGGAGAAAACTACATTCGAAAAATGGGGATATGTAGCATTCCATGTATGAGTAGAATTTGAATCAATGGGATAAATCCCACTTACCCCTTTTAATCATAACGTGAATCACGTTTTAGGATACAACAACAATGATTTGACAGTAGGGGATAAGTTCACATCGTTGCCGAGAAAAATTCGAACTTAAACATTCACAACATAGATTTAAGTTCTCACTTCTGTGACATTCTAGAACATCCCCCATTGATTCAGATCATTTTTTTGTTTTTGTGGTTCTCTTTGCCTTACATCAATGGTAAGCACTTTTTTTCTTTCCTTTTATGTTATGAACGACGAACGTAAAAATGGATGATGAGATAATCCGTAGTATGATAGATGATGTTGACGACGTTGACAGTAGCGACAAAGATTTGGACGACGGTGATGCTGATCCTGCTGTGAATCCAAAATCGTCCATCCCATTGTTGCTTTTGCCCATCTCACGCTATGTGTTTGGTCATCCATCTGCCAGTTTTGCCCATTCTGTTCGATCGTATCCTGTAAAGCAAAGAAAACCCCTTAAATTTATCGTGCTTTCCTCCTATGTTGAAGCTGTGGTACGGATCAGCTAGATTTCATCCTCTTTCTTTGGTCTCTTGGAACAGGCTCTAAGCATTTGCTCCGTTGGGATAAGCAAGGACAGTGATGAGAGTGAGCGCATCATGACGAACCATCAAATAATAGATCGACTCGCCATCAGGGTTTTGCACAAATCAAAGTGCATTCGAGGTAATTACAGTGAGAATTGTTATATTCATGGTGCTCCTCATTTATGGTTTTCAGGAAAATTGTCTTACATATTCTACATGCAACATTTTCTGTCAATGTTCTATTATTGAAAATGTAGAGACAGGCTCATTCCTCTCACCCTTTTCTTCCACAATCGTTCCCTACTGCCGATCTACAGTAAACGAGAACCAGTTAGGGCAAATCTGTGAATTCCGCAACGACTTTGGATCCCAACTATTTGTTCCCTTGTTTCACTGGAGCTGACGGCGTCTGTGTGCACATGACTGTGTTGTATTATACCTTCAATGAAATGTGTGGAAAAGACAAATCGGATGACTCGAAGCACGGAAGGATTTCTTTCTTTCATTAGACTTTACAGGGTTCAATTTTGTCGTAATCATCCATCCCGATGAGCAATCGGCTTATTCCGTAACACTGTTCTGGGAATTCCGCAACCCTTACTTCTTCCATACCCTCTCGCCCTTGAAGGGCGAAGTTATTAATTTCCATGCCCTTAACTTTGGCAAGTATGGATAATAGTTCTTCCCGTGTTCAGATTTACCAGGAGCTCAGGTATAAAGTAATAATAAAAAAATCTCAACCGAACGAAGCGAAAAAGAACGTCTCTAAGATACCCTATGAACAGTAAAGGGCGTATTTTGTCTTTTCTCTTGTTTCTTTTTTTCGGTGATAAGTGGGAGCCGAAAGGCATGTTTAAAAGGGGAAGGGCCTCCAACGTATGCCGTAAACTATCCTGGTGATATTTTACTTCAAGACAGTGAGATTATCATACTCTCGACTTCCAATGTTGAAATATTATTTGCCAGCCCTCCTCTATTGTCATTTATGGGTTGTTCGTGGCACACCATACATCTTGGAGTCCCACGCAAGCTCATCCTGCCAGATTTTGTGGCGTTAATTGCCACCAAAAATCTTGATCTTCCTGCAAATACTTATTGTTTGTCCTATCCTCCTTGCTGATTGTTATTGGCTATTTCCTTCGTCCTCTGGCTCTTGCTGCGTTTTTGGTTTTACCATTGCTATTTCACATTTCTTTGCAAATGGTAATATCCCAACTTATTATAGGTAATTATGAATTGAAAGTCGGATGTGACATGCATAAGCACGACAGAAGACGGAGCGATAAGAGTGCGAAATTAAAAACCCTGCCGTCAGGAGAATGCAGGAAATATCCCAGCAAGAAGTTACGGAATTCACCGATGGTTCATTTTCCGATCGGGTAATTCCGCAACGTCTGCACTGCTGATACGTTGAGTTATGTATGTCAATCACCTCTTACTCGGTCCTAAAATATCAAAGGACTGAATGGAGGTGTAATCTACATTGCCATATGCCCTAAAATACATTTATAGATAATGTTCGACTGGTGTCGAATATCGGACTCTCGCTATTGAGCATGGTATTAAGCGAGGTGGAGCACCTTGCTTTCGTTGTCCACACATCACTGATTACCCAGTCGAGATGAAATATCTGTGATCGCAGTGATGACACAGTAAATATGGCACTATCCATTAAACTAGATAGGGTTCTGATTGAGGTTCATACAGGAAAATGATATAGGAGAAAAGTGATGTGTTGCAGAATTACAGGCCGGTTTCATGAGTGTTGCGGAATTCCCAGATTTGCCCTATATCCGATAAACTGATGTTCTTGCATTGGCGAAAACTTCAGAACTGATTAACCATACGTTTTGCCCTTTTGAGTTCATATGAACGGAAATGACAGCATCCACGCCAGCATGCCAACAGGTTGCTTTTTCTTCGTGTGAAATAGCATTCCATGATGTAAAATACACGTGGTAATTCTGCGTTTCTTGCATCCCGAAGGAAGGTTCTAAGTCCTCCGGGATGGAATAATGCGATTGACATGAAAATTGCTTAAGTGTGAACTCGCGCGTGAAACTCGAAAGTTCCGGATTGGCTCATTTGCCTGTGGTGGCAGCACTTATATTACCTGCATCATGATAAGTAATTGGCTATTGCATTGATGCCACCTATGAGTTATTCTACGTCAAATCAACTCACTACAAAACATGACGCTCTCTGCTTTTTATAAAATTGAGACGAATGACCTGCATCATTGAAAAAGTGAGATATCAGACATATTTTCGTCTTCAGTCAATTAGACCTTACTAACCGACCCGTGGAAGACTTCCACGAACTTTAGGCCAGGGGTGTCAAACTGCGAGTCGGCAGTTTTGTTAGCCAATTTTATCCGGCCCGCAAAGTCCTCTACAATAGTTGGTCTTGGAAAAGCGTAGACATTTTCAACCTGTTAGCAATTGACACTTGGTTGTAAGATTTGCTATTGCGGACCCAACCACCCCTAAAGGGTTCCATCCGGCCCCTAGTTTAATCAAGATTGGCATCTCTAGCCTAGCCTAAGCTAAGCGCGTAACATTGCCGGGAATTCACGAAATCAGTCAGCGGTCGCTCGGACATTGTATGTCTTTCGCTCCCCCCCCCCCCATACCAACGGTGTTCACGCCTACTATACGACGTCTCCGTGTATTAATCTTGGAATCCCCTTTATCGGACAGAAGGATTGTTTCCTCGCCGGAATGAGATCCCCGCCCCAATATTTATCGCGATACCGAACCCTTTATCAATTGGAACTTCGTCCTCTTATTGAACGGTACTCTTATCCCGTATCTATCGCGACCCTGTGCGTATCGTCCGTGAAATCCATCTCCGTCATTTTTTATGTAGCCCCATGAGTGAAAAATAGAATAACTGGATGGTTACGAAGTCCTACGCGGCTCACGGCGCCTTTTCGATCCAAGGGTAAGCGCTCCTATTCTATGCTATACAGAAATTATCCCGCCACTTTCACCTCGGAAGTCACTGAGCTTGTGAGAAAAAAGTCACCCCACCCCCATTTTCTTTTCCCTCATAGGCTTGAGCCATTCCGAGCCATGCTCTCGCTCCTTTTCCTTCAGGCTTGAGTCTACCATGCATTTCAGTCGCGATGCTGATCGAGCCAATCGATCGTTGGCTGTGGCACTGATAGACGGACTTAAGCCGTGATTGCCTCGGAGGCATTAGGTACAGTCTGTTTTATTCCGTAGGCCGTAGCACCTGGCAGTAGAAACTTTCTGGGTGTTCTCTTGGAGGTTGTTATCGACTGGGATGCTCACATCTACGAGGAGGACGGTCTTCTTTTCCTTCTTACAGATCGTGAGGTCCGGCCTATTGCAGCCTATACTGCGATCTGTAATTATAGGCATGTCCCATAGTATCTTGGTGGAGGCGTTCTCCACAACAGACTGGCTGGTGTTCGTACCACTTCTCTGGGACTTCCAGGCCGGCTTGCTTTGAGACACACCAGTGCACATATTTGCACACTTGGTCGTGCCTATACAAGTACTCTCTCGAAGCTAGTTCGGGCAGGCACTGTGGAGGATGTAGGTGAATATTTTGTAAGGGATGGCAGGGCCGAAGTATAGTACCACAACATGGGAGCATGGAGTCATATGGCAAGTCCTAGTCCCCAATAATTAGTGACCTTCAACTACGCGAGAGAGGGAAAGGAGAGAGAAAGAGATTTGAGCCAGAGAAAGCTCTCTGGTATTCGGGGAGTCAACCGCGACATACAGTTTTCTGCAGTTTTCGTTTCTTCTTTTTAAAGCCGTCTTCTTCACCCAGCTCCCTTGACCGCTACTCCATCTGCTGCCATTCGTTACATTTTCATCTCCGTCTATTGTAATTCTCTTATGAACATCTTTAAGCAATACATTTTGTATTCAATCAAACAAGCAAGTACATTTGATGGAATTACTCTTATATAATAGGCAAATGTGACTTAGTCCTCCAAAAGGCATGTTGTGGCAACTGTTTTTTTTTATTCAATACATTTCCCGGGCTATAATGGCCTGACCATCATTCATTATGCATGCAGATGCTCCGTATCCCACGTTCCACCGTTCACGAGACTTCAGTTCCCATCCGAGACCTTGTTTACAGATGTTAGCTCTCTTCCTGTTCCCCTACTCGCTTTGCAGATTGCATTCTTTCTTTCCGTTGGATATGGGCCGATGGTGAGAGAGGAGGGTTCAGAACAATCCCACACGCCTTCTCACACGGTATGTGTAACTCTTGCTTTGTTAGAAGAAATATAGAGGTAAGGGTCGTGGCTGACCCCTATTATGTCAGATGCATAGGAACCTGATAAGAGGACCTGTGGTATCCCTCCGAGGCTTCCAATAATTTTGCCTTCCGTGTTTTCCTTTGGTCTCGCTATCTTCGATTAGGACGAGTTCGGTGACATGATGTGCTCGCCTCTTATTCTATTGTGAGTTTTTCTAGGCCGTTATTATTACCTGCATCTCTGCACGCCATGAAGCCAACAGCTAATCAGATAAAAGCATACCCTAATTAATGCATTTTTCTTTGCAAACATGTGGGACGAAGTGTTTTAATTTGGAATCTTATTTTAATATCTGAAATATCTGACACGTGAACCTATCAAAAATTTACAGGACTGGCCTTCATACAAGCAAATTACTGCATGTGCAGAATATGATCAGATGTCAATATGATCCCCTTCGAAATAGTTCTCTTGACTTTTTCTAAATCTATAGTTCTCAACAGAAAAAAATTAATCGAACTATAGCTGTAACCCATTCTTGGTTACTACTTCCAACGCGCTTGTCGAAGATAACTTGGGAACGTTTGTGCTGTCGAAGCGGTAGCATATTAGCAGGAGCTTCAATCACCAAACAGCGTGAAGTCCAACAAGAAGGAAACGTGAAGAACGTGAAGGCAAACAGCGAGTACGAGGTCCGGTGAGTACGAAAATTAAGGAAATAATGTTGCCCCACCAATGGTTAGGGATTCAAGGAGACACACAAGAAATTTATTCAACAATCAAGTGGAAAGGCTGTTCGGGTTTACACCCCTTCAGCCGAATAAATAGAGATTCAAAAGTACTGCCATGTTACTGATTGATACCTGGCGGTCACTGTGGAGAAGCTCAGAAAAAACCTGCAATTTCTTCTTTATGGTTTTTTGGTGGCCGTCCGATGCACTTGTCATCTTCAAGAGATTCTCGCTTTTCGCGAAGTCTCTTATGCAACCCACAAACACTCGAATTAAGGGGATTATAGACGTTCAGGCTCTCGCAAGTCAGCAGCGAAGATCGCGTTGAAGGAGGTTGGGAATAATGAGGTACAGCCTTCGTTCTAAGCTCCCGGAAAGTGTATAGAATGTTCGTGAAGTGTATAGAATGTTTCAATAGTTTCTGACACACTAAATATAGATGGGGATGTGATTAATCGGAATATATTGATTTAATCACATTCCACGTGCCCAAGAATACCCTAGGTTTCAACTCGAACATCAATACTTGATATAACTTCCACGGGTCTTGGATCGGCGTCTCGAAACTCAGCTAACCAACGGATCACGATCGTTGCAATGGTTTCTCGCTCCACTTAGAACACCGGTAATGACTGACGCACGATTTTGGCGGTGGGGCTGACGCATGGCACTCCGTTGGAATCTGTCAAAGTTGTTGCA